CTGCAGATGAAATGAATATTTTTGTCATGATAAATTCTAATTTGTTATAGGTAAAGTTATAATATATGGTTAGTGCTTCCACATTATTTTAGACTAGAGAAAGCTTATGTTTAGTTTTTAATTATAAATCAGTTACTCGTTTATGTCATGCAGTTCTGGTTTATCCATATCTTGAATGTCATCAGCGAAATACCCCTGTGACACTTAACAACAGTGAATATTGAAAAATACAAAATATTATTTGCTTTGCTAATAAAAACCCTTTTATAAGTGAAAGCTGAAGGAATACCTGGGACTGTGATTTAAATAGATTCCATTTCCATGTTTTTTTTTTTTATTCTATACTGTATGTGCTGTCTAAATATATAGCAGCTATTGTGATTCGAAGAAGCAATAACTTCCAAAACAATTAAACAATTATTACAAGATGTTGAAAATAGCTTAAATAGAGACACTAGACTGTCAGTAATAATGTACTATTTGTTGTTGTTGAAACAGAAAAGACCCATGGATTCTGCTTCGTCACTTCCCGTGAATGCAGTTGTTAAGATTGCACACGCTAGGACTGTCTCCACAGGTCTGCTCACTCGTCTGACACGCACGTTCACTGCCCCTTCACAAGAGCAACCTCCTGTGTTTGCCGCGGTATCTTGCTCGCTTGGCTTCTATTTGATTGTAGCAATGACATGGGAACGTGTTTCATCTTACATTATAGTATAATTATATTATACTGCCACCTAGAGGAGACTTTCTCCTTGACCCACCCAGACGTGAGGAGCACGAATTCTACATCTAGACCAAGTGCTCGTTTTCCACAACCTACAGAAGACGACCGTTAAAACTACGGGATTTCGTTTTTAAAATGAACACCCCCACTATTTTCCTCGGCAACTTTCAGAATATTGATTTGTGTGAGATTACGTTTGAAAGACTGAGCAGCTTTTGACCCGTAACGCAAGGGGTTTAAAGGGTGTGTGAGTATCAAGTCGCATAAGATGGTTGGCCGCCTTGTTGGCCGCAGGGTTTACTGGGCGGATGAAGTTAGATAGATAGATAAGACTTTATTGATCCCGAAGGGAAATTGATGTGTTACAGCAGTCCAGCCCAAGACAAGCAAAAACAGACATCAGAATAGACGAAACATTAAAATACGTACAGTAATACAGAATAAATAGGTGTGTGCAAAATATGCTCATAGTCACTGTAAAAAACAATAAAATATGTGCAAAATGTGCATAGGTCTATACAGATAAGAGTGTTGGTCCCAGTTTACATGAAAAACAGTTTTCACATCTTTTGGGATTAAAACTGTTACATAAATGCAACGAATTGTCTGAATATTTTATAATAGAATTAATTATATTATACATATAGCTTATTAGATATTCCTGAGATATTTTTAGTATCATTTTGTACACAACGATACACTCAAATGACGCTGACTGTTGCATAATCACTAAACCACATAATTTGTGAGATTAATGACTGGCCCATTGCGCACAGGTGGTGGAAGTAATTTAACCTGTTGAAACCTAAGCATGAGTAAAAATAAGATAAGATTTTATTGTCCCCTGAGGGAAATGTTTTATGGACACCCAGCACTCCTGTACATTTAAATAGAATGCAAACAAAAACAAAGAAGACGAAAAGGAAAACATGGCACGTTAGTCTATTACAAAAAATAAGAAAAACGTTGCACATCACTCTGTTGCTCGTGTACAGTATAACACATAACAACATGTAACATTTCTAACACATCACAAAACATTTTGCTCTCAAGGGGGCTGTTAAGAGTCAAAACTGTGTTTATCCTTGACAATTGCGTTGAGAGCCTTAATGGATAGTGGAACACAGGAATGTTTGTATCTGTTTGACTTACATTGGTGAACCCTGAAATGTTTGCCAGGAAGAAGGGCAAAGAGGGTTCAGCTCTTTGGGATGCTCTCTCCGTGTTCATGTGGGTTTCCTCCCACAGTCCAAAGACATGCTGGTAGGTTACTATGCTTCTAGGGAAACTGGCCCTGGCGTGAGTGCGTGTGTTTATCTGTGCCTGCCCTGTGTCAGACTGGTGTCCCACCCCGGGGCGTATCCTGCCCGGCGTCTCGTGCTCGGATGAAGAGGGTGAACGGAGGGTGAATGGGGGAAGAAACCGAAACGCCTCTTCTCGGGAGAACGCCCTCTGCGCCACTGGGATGACCTGGAGCTGGACTGGCCAGTGGCGGAGCCCGGTCCTGGAATGGGCTGGAGATGAATGAAGGCTTCGCAGGGGCCGTCCAGTGGATGTGTGGCTGCGCCTGCTGCCCTCCCTGGGGGCTCATTCTGATGTGGGGACAGCCCAGCAGGGCAAAGCCCGACCTCATGCTGCCTGAGTAATTGCACCTATGTCCTGACGTGTGCACCCTTCTTGCCAGACAGGATGACTTGTGACATGTGGGGCCCAGACACCAGCGAACAGATCGGGGAGCCCAGGCTGTGCCAGAGGAGAAGGAGCAGAATCCCACCAGTGTGAAGCTGGTGTCACACAGATGTACAACTTGCACTGACTCCAAAGGTGTCCATATATCACTGACCCCCCTCCTGCTGCTGATGAGTATCCATCAGCATGGAGAACTGACTCGCGTCGCGTCGCTGCGGCCGCTCCACATCGAGGGACAGTACACGTTTTCTTCGTCATCGTGCATTTGCGAATCTGTTGTCTTCTGAGGCTAAGTGTAATCGCCCCTTGCTGGGGGGGGGAAACAAAATACAGTTAACATCTGGGCGGACTGATAAAAGACTTATCGGGGAGCAAACAGCCTCCTCGCCGCTTTGGAGAAACAAAAGGCTACTGTCGTTTCTAGTTTCTCGCTTTCCCTCCCCCCCATCGTCGTCGGAAAATCCCGGACCCGCATTCGCCGAAACCGCCGCCAACCGTGCGGAGGCGCCGGGATCCGACTTCCTCCGTGCTCGCCGGAATTGTGGGATAGGTGGGGCCAACGCGGAAATCAGACGCGTGTGTTTACATGCAAGGGCAGTGCAGAGCTGGCCCGCTCCGTGCACGGCGGGGCGCAGGGGGTCAGGCATGGGCGGCACGGCGAGCCCTTCTCGTCTGTAGCATCGGATCGGACAGCGGCGCACTTTTAAAACTCCGTTGTTCCTTCTGTATGGTTGCCGTCGTCGTCGTCGTCGTCGTTGTTGCTGTTGCTACTGCTGGAGAATGTGGCTGAATCCCGAGGAAGTTCTGCTGAAAAACGCTCTGAAGCTGTGGGTGACACAGAAGTCCAACACGTATTTCCTTCTGCAGCGCAGGAGGGGGCACGGAGATGGCGGGGGCAAATTAACAGGTAGAGGAGAAGCGCCCGTGTGCTTTCAGGACGGGGGTAGAGCTGACCGACTGGGGAGGAGAGTGTCTTCAGTTTGAAATGCGTGTGGACATGCAGGAGCGCCTGAGGTGGTCTTGGGAATAGAGTTCAAGACCCTGTCCCACCCCCCACCCGCAACACACCTCTAAAGAATAATCAGCAGAAATGAAGAAATCTCATGTCTGCATGTAGATGCTGTACTGTATGTATAT